CTATCTTTTTTAAATAATTATTATAGTCAATCTTACAGTACAGTACAGCATATTATTAAATATATCAGACATTGTTTGACCCCGTTTGTAGAATGAGGGTTAGTAAATTCATAGTGCAAGTTGATGGTGCATTTACCGAGGATACACAGTAAATAGAGTGCAAGTTGATGGTGCATTTACCGAGGATATACAGTAAATAGAGTGCAAGATCGTGCTAGCTAATACAAATACATGTATGCGTAGAGGGATTAAAATTATTTACAGTCTTTAGTACCATTCTATGTGATGGTATGATAGTTCATTTGTACTGTACTGTACTCCTACTTATATATACGATGAAGTATATATGATGTATCATATATATACCATATATAAAAAGTAGCTAAAGGATGCATTTTCAGTAATTATGATCTCGTGAGACTATCATAGCGTATCTAAATATTAATTCGAACGGAATGCATTCCAGTTATTTTTTGTAAACCGAATAAAAGCTGTTATCATCGACAATAAAATTAAACTTTATTATAGTCTACTAACTCTTTGATTGAGTAGTTCATATAAAATACGTGTATACGCTTACAGCAGAGAGAATGAGATTAGCAAAATATTAGTGCAACAATATGATGAGATTGCTTGATATCAATATCAAAGTTATGCGCGAAAATTAAATTAATTGAATTAATGAATGTCCACTTTGTTATAGTTAGTCCAAACAAGGTTAAATATGTGTATAGGATCAATTTTATACCAAAGTATCATTTAAATAAGATAGTATAGTCTCCAAGAGGTCAGAAAACGAACGTAAGATAATTAAAAAAATTTATAACCAACAAGAAGAAGTGATTAAAAAATATCGAGATGTACTTGCTTAATTACTATCGACCGCTATCGTTTTTAACGACGGTTATATTGAGAGCCCACTATAAATAGACACGAAGGTGATCGTAAATTCTTGTAGACGTATAATAAAATAAACTAACTATAAATAAATTAAAAGGGGAAGGATTGGCGAAAGAGTGAAATCTTTGCCTAATCACTCACATTCATTGTAAATGCTAATCCACAACTAGGATTACTACCTATAATCTTATTTAGCCTTACTAGACTACGTATCGTTAAGCACAATTATTACCTAGAATTCGCTCTATTTAAGTATTAGGAATGTAAAATGAAACTTGAAGAATAGCTTAACTAAAAACTGGACGAACCTGGACACTATGCCGTACTAATGAGAGTTGTAACAATTAAGATTACTGTAGTTGATGATATTCTACAGCACTCAGTGCAGAGTCATACGTTAACAATTCAGTCTACAAGCAGAAAGATGAGGATACAGCAATTATGCTAGCTTTTAGTCACCAAATTTATTCTGGCATTGTTTAACAGCTGTTTCTATCTTCTGCTTAAATTCGTCGCTTGCTTTTCTACTTAGGATGACTTGCATACTTGCAGATAGAGTTATACTATCATTTCTCTTAATACAATCTAGTACTTTATCCACTAAATTGTTTAGTCCACGAGAAGAATGATCTGTATAGAGATCATCTGGTGAGCGATGGGCAATAAATATGATTTTATACAAGTCTTGTAATGCTGCAGGATCATTCTGTAATTCGTGATATCTGCTAGGATCCTTAAATACATCAGCGTATTTTTTACAATCCTTAGAAAAGTACAGCTCGAACTTGTACGGTATCTCAAAATAGGTTAACCCTAATTCACGGGAAGAATTGCTGATAATGTGAGTAGCAGATATTCTGTTGCATTCTTCCTCAGTTGGAACAATATCTTGAATTAGGCTTCTAGTATAATAGCTAATTGAGGTGACTGTATCAAATTCAAGACCGGCATGGAATAGTATTGCTACACCATCATCTGCCAATAAATCAGTAGCAACACTGTCTAGAAGATTAGTAACACCGTATCGGCCATTTTTATGTTGATCGCGTGCGTAGTAGACCGAGTGAGAGAGATAGACAAGATTAAATCGATTCATTGATTCTTTGATCTCTTCATCTGTATACAACAGGTGTGCGACATCAACTTCCAACATATCGCCAAAGTTTACTTGGTAATTCTTTAACGGGATCACCTGTGATTGTTTAGCTTTCGAGAAAGTTTCGTTAGCTAGTCCTTTTTCTCCTTCTGAAGTGGCATTCTTCACTGAAGACTGATGTGTACCGGCGAATTGGGCAAGCTTATCCATTGCTCTAATATCTAATCCTCCTTTAAATTCAATATTATTTAAGTAAGTAATGGTAGCTTCTCCATCTCCACAGCCGATATCGCCAACTAGAGTAACTTGATCCTGACGATAGAACAAGCCTAAATCTTGAAGTTGTTTTAAGAAAGTATGATTTAATCGAGACAATCTCTCATGATCATTGTTGCAACTCTTGTAGGCAAGAAAAGCTTTATCATATTGGAAAATATCAGTTCTAATTGCATGTTCCTCCATGGTTTCTACTGCTCATTTCTTTAGTACACGTGCAAGTCCAATGTCAGTTTATTAACAAGCAACCGATGTCTTTGCAGCCTAACAAGTCCTTAGCAAACAGTTAGTAACCAGTTGACAAGGGCTAATACGTATGTTTCGCTACATTGATTTAAACAAAGCACCACTGCTATTGCAAAATTATTCTTTCTTTTTGGAATCAATAAGCCTGCATAAAATCATCATAATAAGAGAATATTTGCTCAAGCTATTCTTCGTGTTCAATAATGCTGTATTCATTAATTTTGACTTTAGGTAACCTACGGCTAAATGTCTGTACAAAATTAGCAGTAACCTTGTTCTATTGAATTGAAATGACAACCCCTTGTCCATACTAAAAAATTCTTGCCGCTCAAAACAATGCTTCATGTCAATTCAATAGCACATCGAGATCACTGACGGATTACATTCGGCATGGCTGCCAAAATAATCATTTTGCAGCAGTTGCTTTTACAAATTGAATGGATAATAGTTCATTTGCTTTCTTCTACAGCATAGGATGGCTGAAATAAATACACTAGAGTAGAAAAAGTGGATTTCTTTGCAAGATTGATCTACCACGCAATTTCCAGTAGTGGCATTCAACAGTAATGTTAATAATAATCATGGAGTCCGGTAGTCAGGCGGCTATTCCCTAGAGACTACTAACCTTTGAGTGCCAGCGTCATGATGTCTGACTCCTTTTATGTCTCTTTTTCGAAGGGAAATCACTAATCTAATAGCTTAAATGGCGCATCTTGGGCCTAACTTGAAGCACGGAGCTTTCTGTCCTGTGGATTTAGTGTACAGTACTGTAAGATTGACTGTAATATTGGAATACTTGCTGAGCAACTTCGTGGTATAGCATCGATCTAATATCGAACTAGTGATAGCATAGTACTTGAATAACATATTACATTTGTTCAGAAACACAAAATCATAGGTATTAATGTCTTAAATAGCTACAAATTAAAGTAGAACATACCGTATTGCAATAAAGTCGATGATAGGAAGTAGATAAAAGCTAAGGAAGGAGACATTTGCAATAGAAATGATATTTTTGCTTATGATAAAGCATTCAGACTTACAAGAAATTATATCACGAAAAAAGGAATGGATCATTAGTCTATCGCTCTCTTAAAGATTTTATGGCATCAAGATTCATTGAGCGAAAGCAATCTAGTAACTTTAATTATTTATGTGATATGTGTTGGAGAAGATACTATTTTAGGGTATTTTAAAGGTATTGAATTTAAAACAGGTCTAGGCACTAGGGAATGGGATAATTGTTCTAAATTTATTGATAGCAGCAACCCTGTAAGCAAAAACAGTAGATGCAGAAGAGAAAAAAATGTCAATTTATCATATTCTTTCAAGTACTTATCGTAAATCAAACTATCCCATTGAAAAATTATTAAATTATATATACGGCGATTTGTTAAAATCTCATATGATACAGATGCTGTACCGTATATACAGTATATATATATACGAAAGACGAGATTAAGCAATCGATGGGTCGATTTTATGGGGAAGCATGTACTATGCTTCCCCGTATAAAATTGGTCGGTTTAGAATCACTAATCTTTTTGACGGTGTTATGACAGATCTATTAATCGATAACAGTATCGTGCTACTGTTTAATAGCACTCCTAAATTAAAGAAGAAGGTAATTGGTAACAAGTCACTAAGTAGCGGCGTATCGAATTTCCTTTGGATAGCATCTAGAAATTTTAATATAGCAACATCTTAGTATTGCTTAGTATTGCTAGTACAGTACAAATGTTGGCGTTGACTGCTATATATCGAATACGGTAGTAGATGATGTAGGGAATGGCGTTAATTATCCTCTATATTATGAAATGCCACCGACCCACCCTGTACACGAGCAGCGAGGAGGGTATTTATACTACTGTTAGATGACTGTGATTATGGGTTCATTTCAATAGGTCAGTATAAGATTCTTACAGTACCTGCTAATCTTAACTTGGTTTGTCCATCACCGTACATTAGTTATCATAATTTGCTTTGGACCATTAACTAATCTTAATATAGCATTTCATAGCATTTCATCCGTGAATGTATTATTGAAAAGTAGTATTCTACAAGCATAGCTGTGAATATAGTAGTGCCTGGCTATTACTGGGATATATATAATATCGAATGGTAATACTATCTGTTAATTATTAACAAATGGGTACATTATCGTAAACCGTCAGCAAAGCGACGTGAGTTTGTACTAGTATATTTTAAATTACTGTTGTTTATATTTTTCATCTACTGTAGCTTGTTTATGCAAAATATGGGAACGGTTTGTTAATTAGATTTAAAAAAAAGGCGTTTTTCTTTTGCTTATACGTATAGATGAATTTTAGTCCTGGACTAATTAGTGTTGGAGTAATTTTCTAGAATGTGATTTCATATGGCCAAACGATCATCTGCCGTAGTCTGCTGTTTATAGCTTATCCAGTATTAAAGAATCTTGCCTATAAAAGTGGTACAGCAGTTATCCACAAAAAAATCAAATTACATATTAAGATTTTCCTCTCGTTATGTACTATATTTAGATAAATTGGACAACAAAGAAGTAAAGAATATTATGGAGATATACAAATTTAGACTGATGTCTTTCGGCATGATAAAGTATTAGTAATTATAAAAACACTTTATGTAAACGTAATGGAAAAGATGATAGGTCAATTAGATAATTCTAGAGATTATTATTTTGATAGTGTAACTAAACATTTAGATGCAAGTGAATGAGATCATCTAAAGATAAGAACTCTACGGAATGCGTTCACTCGATAGAAAATTTTGCATCCCTTCATTAGCTCATTCTCAAAGAATTGGAATGAGTATAAAAAGACACCGATATTAAGAAGTTTAACCGTTATTTTATAATTTACAGTACTTCATCGGATAATACTGAAACTCTATAAGATTTTCGTGAGATCTTAATTAAATCCATCATTCATTCCAAAAATTTTTCAATGGTTTAACACCCACAAAGGGTAAAGTTAGTCGATAACTTTATATAGATAACTAATACCGTAGGTCATAATAAGGTGGATATCCTCTAATATCTACATGTTTACACAGTAGATCATTTCAGAGCTTATTCTATGCCCACTTTAGTATAAAGCTCTAATAACTTGGCATATCTAGCGTGGGCTATATAAATGTAAATAATTATATAAAAAATGAGCTAAATAACTCACTTGTTGTGTTTCTACTCTTAGTTGTTAACGCTGGCACGATCAATTTGTTCTTATTATCGAATAACATATCAGTACCGTTTAATTGCAGTAGAGTGTTTTTTTTTCACTTCTGCTTTATCCAAGACTTAAGATTTGTGCTAATTTTTATTTATCTGTACAAAACGAGTTCTTTAATTCAAAAGTTCGAACTACCATAACCAGTAGCATGTTTTATTGAATATACGACGTCAATAACAATTGTTGTTATTGTATAAAATGATAAATTCAGTGTATTTATGTTAGCGCTATAAATATTTAGAATATTTTGTTTACAAGCCAAGCAATAATACTATACGATATTAATAAAGGTCCCCTACAAATTGTCCAAATGTTCCATTTAGTACCCGCTTGTAATGGTAAGAGCATATGATGGACTCGATTATACACTATTCTGCACTAATTGATGTTGTATTTCTGTTATCTAGAATAACTTGTAAAGTTAACTACGGTCATATGCTTGCTGTATGCATAGCTTAGCGTGTAAGAGCAATACTAGACTAAGTCATTCATCATACAATACTTGATTAACATAATTTATTAATTAAGCTACATGAGGTGGTCATAGGTACAGGTTACAGTCATAAATAACTATGGATTAGAGTACATCATACCATATTATTCTAATAATCGATGGATAAATAGGATCAGCGATCGGGGTGCTTTGCATATTTAATAAGTCTAGAAGTCGGCTCATTTACATTCATTGGCTGCCTTAAGGGATGGTAATCGGAGATTTCTAGTGTACTTATCAATTGATAAAGAAGTTACCTAGAGCAAACAAATCAAGTTCATTACACATGCCGAGCCATTACCCTTAATTTAACATAGGGATTGAAGTTAACAAAAGAAACTATTAGTATAATAATGCATCCATTTGCAATTAAAACCGATGTCTATGAATATGATAAAGCTTTCAGAGCCTACAAGAACTTAAGTAACGAAAAAAGAAATGGATCGATAGTCAATCATACTTTCTTAAATAAATTACAAAACCAAGGTTTACTAAACGACGATAAACGAGTCACTTTAGTGGCTGATATCGCGTGTGGTGAAGGAGATACTATTATAAGATACTTAAAAGGAATTAAATTTAAGTCAGGTTTAGATATTAGAGGATTGGACAACAATTTTAATTTTATTGGTAGCGGAGTCTCTTTAAACCAAAATATTCTACATGACGAGAAAGTACCACCAATTTATCATAATCTTTCAAATGCTTATCGTGATCAAACTATCCCGTTGAAAAATTTTCAAATTACGTTCGGCGATTTATTAAAATCTGATGTGGCACAGCTATTGTATACGAAGGAAGAGATTACACAATCGATGAATCGATTTCGTCTTGTCTATCTTATCCATGGTATATACTATCTTTCTTTTCCACATAAAAATGGTCGATTTGGAGTCACTAATCTTGTAGATAGTATCGTGACAGATCTATTAACCGACGACGGTATCGCACTACTATTTCATAGTTCTCTTAAAGTAAATGGTAATGTTGCATTAAGCTATTTTATTAGAAATCACATCAAAAATTTTATTCCAACTGACGAAGAATATCGAATGTTATCTGCTGATAGTCTGATTAGATATTCATGTCATAGGCTAGGAATAAACTGTTATGACATACCGTACACTTCTGCTATTCGATTTTCAAACAACTTTAAGATGTACGTGGATATATTCAGGAATCCTAGTCGTTATCACGAATTACACGATAATACTGAAGCTCTACAAGATTTGCAAATGATCTTATTTCTGGGTCATCGATCGCCAAACGATCTCTTTATGGATCGAAGTCCACGAGGATTACAAAATTTACTCGATATCTTAGTGGAAAAGTTAGATGAAGAAGGCAACCTTAAAATATATTCATGTATGCAAATAATACTAAGTAAAAAAGCAAGTTCGGAAATGCGGCAGAAAGTAGAAAAGGTTGCAGAAGAATGTCGGAATCTATTTTCTCAAATCAGCCCAGAAAAGATAATATCTATGTTGTAAAATGTATTTTCCTACAACCTAAACTGTATGTAATATACTAATATGATTTTCGACATCAGATGCATCAAGATTATTTCTGATAAAACTAAATCATACGAAATATGAGTTACTTGTAGAACTATACTAATTAATAATTACTGCGCCTGCACTATCGATCAGAATATAAACTATTTTTTAAGGATTATATTTTATAATGACCATCAAAATTGAAAATTATAACTTGTTAATAACGTACATTGATTGAGATATTTACTATTAAATATTACTTTTAACGACAAAATGAATGAATTATCTTTAAGTATGATCAACCCAAAAATGTACTACTCGAATAGTTACTGGCAAATTTTACATACTATCGTATTGGCTGTCTAGGCGAAAAAAATCACTCGCCTTCGATTCGTAAAATGCACGCCACAATATTGTTGTTTTGCCACTAAAATGAGTATCGAAAACAGTAAATATAATATTACTCTGTGGTTCAACAGTAAAGCTATATCAAAGTTAGAAATTATTGCTGCAAAAATAACAACGAGATCTCTATTGAAGATACTTCAGAAATTTTAACTACAATCGCGATTAGCAAATTAAATATCATCACTTAGAGGTCTTCCATTACTACTCTAGGCAACAAGCACCAAAATCATAACAGTAATGAATAGAAACTCTAATGTTTACCTTACACTTAATTCTTATCTTCTAAATATTATACTTACCGGCAGCTTTATCATACATAGTACAATAATAGTGCATATGGATAGCATTTTTCCACCATATTTATTTTGTTATTAGTACTATTAATTCATCTTGTATTCATCTGATTCAATTTACCTATCTGAGAGATAATAGGAAAGAAAATTTAAATTTATTAAACTGTGGTATTATTACTTTAGCTTGACGTAATTAATTGAGGAAAATACCTCCCCATCTTAATCTTGAACAACAATGCCAAAAATACAGCAAGAATGTGTTCTTAAAAATATTAGTAAAAAGGAAGCCATTAATGCTGTTCCAGTCTACTATACTATCCCAAAAATATAAGAACCAACTAGAATTGTTATATTGATTAATTATTGGAGAAACAAAGTATCCTACTTCAAGATTACTTTTTGACAGCTTCCTTGGTTACTTTACTATTCTTTTACTAAAGTGTAGAACTGCATCGCTTTTTTACGCTTCATGGCAGTTGATAGAATAAAACTAAAGCATCATCAATCTAAATTGCTCTAAATTAATCTTACAATAAATTATCTACGTTCAGAAAGACTCATACTAGATTCCCTAATATTACTAAATTATTGATTTGAAGTAAATATACTCGCATTTAATAAATTGATTTTTCGCCTAGTTTACGCTGGTATTCATAGTGGTTTCTGGTTTCAATAACTATAATTATTCATCCATAATTATTGCTTTAGAATTTACAATGACGGTAGTTAATGTTTTAATATAACATATACTGTACTCATAGCTGAGAAGTTGGATAAACTGCAGATTTTCAAACGAAACCAATTGATCAAGACATGTATACTTTATATTTCGTGGTTAGTTGTCCAAGCCATGGTACACTATTTAGTTTTACGAGCACGACTTATGGTATACGTTAGTTTTTAAGTACATATTTGAATAATTAGTAACTGGCTAATTTAAAACTGATAACTTTGCATTGAAAATCCACCTCCCTTTTAATATAATGATGATTCTTTTTATTGCAAAGCCTGAAAATAGACGATTTACTTATTTCATTACAAAGCATAATGGATTAATAGCTAAAATCATTATTTGTTGAAGTTCTATTAAATAGCAATTTCTTATGACAAAATACGATCTAAAAAATTTCGATGAGTATCATTAAACTCTATTTAACGATAATATGTCAAGTATTTTTATGATAATAGAATCTTATTTTAAAGATAAAATCTCAGTTTTTACACTATTTACAGTTAGCTCGATATTCAATACTAACCATATTATTTCCGGATAATATTTACATACTCGTATATTCAAGAATGAACACGTTTGGCTGACTAATTACGATATCATATTTACGAAAATTTAGATAGGTTGTCGCTTCATGATTGGATAGCCCGGCATAATCTTATTTATTTTATTTCTACTTCATTCATTAGTAAATAGAACAGTAATGTAATGATAAGAGAGGGAGAGGGAGTAGGGTGAAGAGCGATTTCTCAAAATAAATGATAGAGCTCTTATAAGCATAAGCTTCTTTAGTATTTTTTCGCGTTGTAAACCTTAGTTTGTAAGCGCAATACATTCTAGTCCCGTGATGGCATCATATAGTAAAAAGTTCATTTTGCTTATCTAATTCTTTATACATAGATTAAGCAAGCAATAAAGAATTACTAGAGTAGATAGGATAGTATCAGCGAAAAAACTTCTTCTTTGGTAGCTATTGCGATGACGGTAGAGCTTTACAAGTACTTCATCGTATATTCTTTTAGCAAAGCATACGCTTATGATAACATAGTCAAAAGCGGGTACTAAATCTGCTACTGTACTGTACAGTCTTATTTACTATCGTGTAAAATTAGTCACTATGCAAGTATATGCATGTTGTGATGTATTAGTCACAAAGATACGTTCTAGTTTTAGGGATACTTATTTGTAGAAAGTAGAAGATCGTATGTTAGAACACAAGACAGAGCAGTTGCTTCCTTCTGAAGACTTTTACATCACATATAGGGTTGTCAATGGAAGATTAGAACAATGATAGAATGAATCATGTACCTACGGACGTTCTATTTATACTCGTAGAGTAGAAGACTTTATTGAGAAGAATGGCAATCTTGACTTACTTTCGTATATACATATCATCCTGAGCCGAAAAGCAAGCGATGAATTTAAGAAAAAGATAGAAGGAGCCGTAAAAGAATGCCAGAATAAGCTTTATAACTAAGAAGCTAACACAATTTATACATCCGCGTAGCTGGTAATTAGACTAATACGCGTATATTATGTCATTTGACGATCACTTCCCTTTTGATCTATAGCTTTAGATACTCGTACTTATTTATTTATCGTCTAAGAATATTAACGATACTAAGGGTATACCGTTATTCTATCTTGTTTGCGACATACTAGCAACTTTTAGGAAAGCCATGATACTGCACCAAGAAGTTGATTAAGAGCATTTGATCTATCTTAAATAGTGCAACAAAATAATTATCTATTTATTACTTAGATAGCTTTATCAATTAATTACCGGTAGCTAATCAATAGCATTTTATTTGTGCTGTTACCGTTATACTTAGTATTAATTTTGTAGTTTTCTAGAGTCTAGGATATAGTTTATCTTATCATTTGTGTTTGATTGCTAGTTTAACTTGGATTATTGTAGAATGATAGTTGGATAGTCTAATAACACCAACTGCTCTGTATATCATATAAAAGATGGCGTAGTTCGATAGTTTAATGCAGTTGAAGTTAGAGAAGACAAGAAAAGTCTATGATAATTGTGAGTTATCTCATTAATTGATAGTTTGGTTGGTTGGGGCAATCGTTCTGCCCTTATTTTTTTATTCATTTGAGAATTTTTGCTAAGATTGTCGTTAAAGTTATAATAAACTATTTTTTTTCGGTAATTTATTTTGTTTAGACTTCAATTGTTGGTAGTTTAACTTAATTTACTAAAATTTTATTTTTTTGACCACCAATACTACTATTAATTGATAGAGAAATTGAAACGAAATCAATGTAGTTCCGACTTTAGGTGGAGTGACTCTTGCCAATAGTAAATAATAAATAGATTAATAGATTTGGCTGTTTACTGATTTGTACCAGCAATAAGCAATAATTACGAAGCCGTAACAAATACTGCAATAACTAAACCACCAAATGTCCTGAGGTAGTTATTTCTGTATGGAAGCACAACTTGGTGCAGGTTGCTTCTATTCAGCTTGTATTGGCTCTACAGAATTAAGCCAATACAAATAACTATTATAATCATATCCTATATGATATGATATGGACTATATCACCAACATTCTGTGAAGCGTGACTAAAACAAACAAATCATTTTGTAAATACTATATTAGGATATAAAAGAAATCATGGTTCTTTTGTTGCTTATTCATGGCTTTCATTATGCGTTACTTTTGCCTCAGAATGTTGTTTCGTGGCAGCTTATATGCTACTCTGCTAGTGTTGCAGTACACTAACTACTACATTGTACGCGAATTAAAATTTACAATAAAGTATCTATTTTCAACTCAAATCTTTATGCAATTCTCTGCATAACAAATAGGTCCGACTCATCGAATCGTCCATCACACTCAACCTATAGGAAATTAAAATTCTCCTAGGAATGCATTATAAGAGATGTCTTAAAAGTTTGCACCCTCTTCCAATCAAAATGGACGGGTCAATTCTCATAGAGAATTGAACACGAATTCAAATTTTAAAAGTTGATTATCACTATAACATTGACATTCAACATAGAAAATAATTTCAGTCGTCATGGAGTTAGCTCTTATTTGGCTGTATTCCTTTCATAATTTTGCTTTATTATTCAATTTGTTATAATGATAGCAGCTAGTTCTTTGCTATTTATTCAATCCTTGGCCTCTCTACCAATATGTACCAATTTGTGCCTACAGGCATTAAGAGCGGGTATGCATGTCCCGATAAATCATAAATAAAACTTTGAACAATGCTTAATTAATTTAATTATTTTCACCTAATAGGCCTTAAACGAAAAATAAAAAATAATCCTGAAAGTATTAAGTGATTACTACGCATCACAGAACAAAATTTGCAGAGAGATATTGCATATACACACATCTATTTTAATGTCATGATTTATGGTACCCCAAATGGACAATAATGGCTTCTAATGAGTGATGACTATGCCGTAAAAGCAGCGAACGAGTAATTACAAATAATCGGTAATAAAAAGGTAATAAAGCTTTTGTCGTTTATTCACTGTTGAATAGAACCGCCTAATAATAGTAGGTGTGTGCGCTGTGCATTTTAATACAGTCAGC